ATAGTTGGTCATCAATCTTCTTCAACCTAGGGCGGTCTACAGCACCTACAGATTCAGCAGTGGGGATGAGATGGTCGGTGTAATCTTGTCCCTCAAGAAAAACTTTAATGTCAGATGCCCAAGAGTCATAATTAGAACCATCTGATTTATCCATGCATCGTATGAACATAATTACTAAAAATGAGCGCCTTGGGCTTTGGAACATCAAAGGACACATTACTTGAGTGAGAGTCATTCATGGGAACCTATAAAGACAACAAACGCATACAAGAAAGTCAAAAAATGTGTGTGAACAAGGCCGCTTACCACGAAATAAGCTCTGATCAACATAAAACTACAGATCCAGGACTAAGAGAGGAAGGCAAGCATATATGTGAAAGACGTATGGCGAACAGAGAAGCTATGAGTTACCACAAGGATTCAAAATTCAGAAACTGTGACCAGTGAATGAGGGCACGTGCGAGGTGGCTGGTAGTGAGGCTTGGACAGAGGTGGTCGCTAGGATGAGACTTCGAGCGATATATGGGTTAGTCAAAAAGGTCACCAAAAAAGGTGGTGGTTGACAGTGGACGGCGGTGGTGGCGTGATTGTAGTCGAGATTGAATGAGATATGAGGCGTTTGTGAAGATGGAAAGACCAGAAACTGAGGGGATGACATGATTTCCAGAAAAATTTATCACCAATATGTAGTGGGCCATCAAGTAAGTGCAAATTAGGTTTGTCTCTCATTAGGCTCTTGAAACTATGTTAAGAGAGAGGAAAGTGAAAGACATAAGAGGTAATTTGTGTGCTTTAGACGAGCAGCAGAGGCACTATTATATAACTAAGTAAAATAGGACACGCATGAAAATTATATGATGTGAGACTTTGTCTCATACACTAGACTACTCTATATACAATATTTTCAACAGTTCAAGTCAATTGAATACACTTGAATTAGCAACTTTTGTTTGATCATTTTACTCTTTTTATTGTCTGCTTATTGAATTGCTCTTTCTAATATGGTTTATTTCTCTTATTTGCTATTTTTTATTCAAATGGATTTAATCCAATTTGAGCATTGTCAGACTCAGATTGTGGACGGCTCTCTTAACATCATTTTCTTTATTCCAAGGACTAGAATTTAAGTCATCTGATTAAGGGGAACAAGTTACTTACCACTTGAATCAATGATTGTTTACTAATCAATTTCGTTCTTGCATGTGTTCTTAAAAAAGAGAGTTAATTTACATTGTTTGCAAAAGAAGTTACACACAATTCACACACCCCTCTTATGTTTCTGTTTTAGCCATCTTTTCTTTACATGAAGTTGAAAGTGTGGCGGGATGAGAAGATTTTTTTTCCTACTGATCTTCCTCCTTTTACTGGGCTCTTCAAAAGCTTTCTTTTCCATCTTGGAGGTAAGAGGTGGCATATCAGGTTGACCTTGTAATGAGCCAAGAGAAGTCAGAATAGGAGTCTCAAATCTCGTTTGACCTTGAACTAAAAATTCTAGCGAGTTCAAAGCAGTATTGTTGGGACCTCCAGCCGAAAGTCTTTTTGCAGCCATCAGTTCAAGCATCCTCTGCTTTGTGTCCATCTCGCTTTCTGCGAAAGAATGAAATTAAAGTATTGTAGAATGAACAGGAAAAATGAAGGCATGAACATAGTGCGAGATCAAAAACAAATGCTACATGTATTTAAGATTCCTACCAACAAAGACCTTTACATTATTGTCAGTATATTAAGAGAGAATGGTGTATGCACTCAGCAGACCACCATCAATAACTTTATAAGCAATCTCACATAACCTATTCACTGTAATACCCTCAGGAGAATCTAAGTCCGAAAAAGTATAACTAAGTTTAAGCCCATCTTCAGGATCTTGGCACCAGTATAAAGGAAAGAAGGGGACTTCATCCTCGTATTCCAGAAAAAAAGGGGTAACTACCCTATATCTTGAAATATTCCTTCTTCCACTCATGAATTTTGTTTGAAAAAACCTCACAAAAATTGAAGTCTTGGTTTTTTGGGAAAGAAATCCAGCTCTTACGAGCACAATATACCCTAAAAGGACAAAAAAATGACTTAACTAAAGGAAAAAGATCAAACGCTCAAAACATCTCATATACATGAATAAACCCCCACGTATTTGGATGAAGCTGGGTAGGGGTGATATGAACATGATCTAAAAGTGAAATGACAAATGAAGAAAAGGGGAAATGAAAACCTAAGGTGACAAAAAAAAATTATGCATCATCAAAACATGATTAGACCTATCATCCACGTGAGATGAACAAACACGTTCATCTGCAGGAATAGGAGAAATTTTCCACTTGTGGTCAGTGGATTTGTCCATAGTAAGGTGAACAACAACAACAATCTCAGCAGCAGACTCCACAACACTAAACTTGGAGACTTCTTTCAAAACATCATTAGACACCCATGTGAAATTATACGTATCTCGCACACCCGAAATAGGGCCACTTCTCTCTGTAATTTTCTTTTACTCATGATAGCCCTGAGAAAGGAAGAGGTAGAACAAGTGTCAGATGAATCAGCAGAAGAACTGAAATAAGAGCTAGCAGGCATTTTTCCTATTATACATTTTTTGTACGGATAACCAGCAGGATAAATAACATTTAAAGGGACAGGGGTGGAACTGCGAGATATTCTAGAACCAGGACGTGTACTTGACTCAGAATCAGAACTACTTGAAATGACAATAGATTCTTTAGATTTTGCAGCGATAGGGTGTTGGGCCAGCTTGTTCTTAAATATTGCTTCGCTGGGAAAGAACCCTAGGAAACAAGCGAGATTACCCTTAACTCGCACGGGATGGAGCTCTATCTCTCCTAGAGCCTTGAGATAAGGACCCACCTCCATAATCTCTAGTGAGGGAGGAAGAGTCCCAAGTATCTCAGCCTTTTCTATCATGGAGAAATTCATTCACTGGTCAACCACCATTCTCCTATGCCAAGGGACCTAGCTGACCTAGACCTAGGTACTGGCCTAAGCTCTGAACTAGTTGAACTTAACCTCTCGACCATTCTAAAAAATGCAGAAAAAGGATGTTCAACAGACATTTTTACAAACGGGTGGAAAACTACCTAGAACCCAAAAGTAAACCCAGAAACCATAGAGGCAAATGACCAAAAGGAACAGACTGCTCACTCAAAACAAGAATCAATGCAGAAGTGAATGAACAAGCACTCAAAAACTATTGGCATACAATGAATTTCCAGAAATGCAAAAAAATGAAAGTGAAAGTGAAAGGATTATACTTTAATTCGAGGAAGTTCTTCGGAGCACATGAAACAAAGTAGCTTACTCACACTTACGTGTCACAAAAGCAAAATGACAAAGAATAATGGAGAGCAACTATGGAAGGGAGCAATATCAGAAAAAGAGAAGGCACGAGAGTAAAAGTAATCATTCCCTCCAAAACCCTTAAGGTTAAAACTCAAAAAGTAACCAAGGGTATATGTGTAAAAACATGAAAAAGTGAAATGGTAATGCAAAGGAGTGGGATGCATGTCAACAGGAGACCAAAGAGTTAATGCATTAACCCACACGTAATTAAGGCAACATTAAATGCCCCTGACAGTTTAAAGTCAAATTAACCGTTTATTAAGCGGCGAAATGACTGATTACCAAAATCTACTCAAGTGCAAACAATAGTAAGAACGTAGCAACATCTCGTCACAAGCGAATGAATATCTCGCATAAGGACTACATATTGCTCCTCATGCTTACAGTATAAGTAGTAAGTTGATGGACTTCTGATCTGGACCTGCTATATACGAAATAGAGGCTCAATCTATTGAAAGGCCCAAAGGGTTCAGAAACTATCAGAGCTTGCCCAACAAGGCAACTCATCTCGCATATTAAGCGTAGGGGTCTCGCAAAACTTGGCTAACAAGTCAAGGATGAATTAACATGGAAGGAAACATCATTATCGAGATCAGCAGTTCAGCCAACTTGGCCACTACCTGAAACCCATTAATGAATGGCAGCTCCAGCTTGCCACCACGTCTACTGAAACTAGCTTGACCTTAGGCTTGTCTACCAAGGAATGGTCTGAGAGAGGCCACCCCTCTCCACCAATGAACATGAACATCGTTTTATGAAAGGCAGTATGAAATAAGGCACTTTACACTATAAATACAGAGACATTTAGCCCAGATATGATATCTTTATTTGAAAACTGAATTGATTTGAGCGTCGAAGTGCCTTGCAGGTATCCCCTAGTCTCCTTTAAATTGCCCAGATATACAAAGTGCTGATCAACCATCTCGCCAAACATCCCAGCATCTTGGCAAGCTATCTTGCACATATACCTTCTCTTCGTCAACATCATTCACCTTCAACTATGTATGATCAGGCCCAACCCAATATTTGTTGGACCGATCAAGACTATTATTCAAGAATCAAATTACTTTATTTAAAGAGTTCCGAGAACTAAAAAAACTAAACAATTTTTTTTAACTATTAATATTTTTAATTTTATATTTTGTTTTTTTATAATCAATTCAGACTGATTGGGAACCTAAAACTGATTAAAAAAAAATCAGTTCAATTTTTCAAACTAAATCACTAAATCCATAGTTTAATGAATAACAAAAATTTAGAGATTAGGTTGACCTTGAATTACTTATTACCTGGTACTCTTATTTTTTGGACAATCATTTTATTCTGTATTGTAAAATAATTAATGAAATATGTATTTTCTGTTTTTGAAACTTAAAAGTTAAAACATAAAACAAAAACAACTCATATATATTCTGCACATTTTATTTTAAAATTTTTTATAATTTTTAACATGTCTTATCAACTGATTTTTTTCTTCTTCTTAAAATCAAAAAATTATTTTTTGAAACAGATTTCAAATATGCACAGTGCCCTTTCCCTATTAAGAATCTACTTTGTAAAATTGAGGCCCAAAAAATACAATGTTGAAGACCCAAATCCCATATTGTAATTTAGTTCGAATATAACAAAACTATTTCTATTTTTCTTTCAATTGCCCAAAACAAATCTTGTCTCTTTAAAATACTCATAGTCACGTAGAAGAGAGAGGTGAATCATTCAACTTGAGGCCGCAGAGTAAGTCTCTAAGCTCGCTGCAACATCAAGGTAACTTAATTTCTCTCTCTATCTCCATTTTCTTTTTCCTACTTTTATGATTTTAGTAATCATAACCAATTCAATTCTGTGTATTATTTTTCTGCGAGTCTTGGACTTTCACAAACTGGGAATTCAAACTAGGTTGAACATTTGATTACTAGTACTTTTTCTTTAATTTGGGGTTTTGATATTATAAAGAAAATTTAGGGTAAAAATTGTCACTTGCCATTGTTATACAGGATGTCAGTTGGAAGTTGGAACTTTAGTATAGAGCCTCCTATGTTTGTGAATCAGTGAGGTAGGTTACTATTTGTTCAATACAAAGAAGTCCCGAGCTATTTATTGTACACAATCATCTTAGCCATTTTTTGCTGATTAAGAATCTCTTCCTACTATATTTGATTTATGTATTCTGTAATGTCAAGTTACTGACTTTCTCTAATCTTCAATGCTAATCTATTAGTCTAACAAGTTAGCCCTACCCTCTCTTATGGTGTTTGCGTACTCATTGTTTGATAAAATGCCAATTTCATTATGCTTGCTACTTTAGGTGATTCTTTGTGATTTAGACATGTAAAAGTCTTATTTGTGATGCAGACATGTAAAAGTCTTGTGGGATCTTTGGGTTTTAGTTTCTCTCAGCCTTGTGTTTAGTGCTCTCATGTTACTGATTGCTTGTGTTTAGTGCTTTCTTTTTGTCGTGTGAGTTGTTCATTTTACTCTTATGTTTCGATTTGAGATGCATGCTTGTTGGCTTAAGGTTTCGGTGAATATGATGTGCTCGAAGCCTGGGTCATACAGCTACTTGATAGTTTAGATAACATTGTTTGATTACAGCTGGATTGGGGGGTGATATGCTATGTTGGGAAGCAGTGGCGGAGCCAGGATTGGAGGGGAGGGGGGCGAAAATTAATTTTTTGTCTTGCATAATATCAGTATTTTTTTACCTATTGATCTTTGGGTTATTTGTTTATTTTTATTTATTTATTTATTTATTTATTTCTTTTTTTACTTTTTTTCAACCGTTTTGTATCTTTCATGTGGGTTCATCTACCACCGACCCCAATTAATTTGGGATAAAGGTGTTGTTGATGTTGATGTTGATGTTGACCTCATAGGAACTCATTTAGATAATTTCTTACCAAAATATTAACATTTAACAACATTTGAAAGACTGAAAAAATATACTATTGGTCGGGTCCAACACACATAAAAAGTAGTTTAAAACAATAATTAAAAAAAAAAATGAGTGCCTTAACTAAAACAATGCTTTTAACTACATTTTTTTAAAAAAAATAAAATAAAAGACTGCAACCAAGTTGCCCCAAAAAGTGAATCTTTTAAGTTAGAGCAAACTGATTTTCTCTATATGAAACCACTACACAAAAAGAAACACAACCATGCAAATGAAAAGAGAGCAAAAGGATGGCAAAAAGGCCAAAGTTTTCATTAACCAAAATATAGCATATGAAAATAAAAAAGAAAATGCAGAAAAGGTTACACAGAACACACACACACATTAGGTGAAGTGGAGGTAGATTTCAACTTGGATCTCAAACCAGAACTTCCAAAAGAAGCACATTTAACAATAACAACAATATTATGTTTGACCTTCAAATGCATTAATTTTTTTCCCATTTTTTTTGGGAGAAGGGGGGGGGGGGGGGGGCTAGCCTCCCCCTGTCTCCGTCGCTGTTGGAAAGGACTTAAAAGGGAAGTGTTTGTTTTGTTTTGTCTTTTGTTTTTTGTTTTTTATTTTTCATTTGTTTGTTTTTAATGTTTAATTTTCCATTTGTGCGTTTTATGGATATTTCGTGAAGTTTATAATATTTTAAGTATAATACATCTTCATATGGATTAAAATAAGTTTATTTTTATTTAGAGATAGGGTAGTAATATTAGAACACATGGTAGGGTCACAAAGGATTTCCCTATATCAATGTCAACCCAAACATTTATTTCTGAAATGTGTTCTGAGCATTAATCAGCTGCTGGATTAGAATGTAATGGAACCTACTTTTATTAATATGAAATTGCAGAAAATATAAATGGAGACAAGCTCCTTACAATGATAAAATATAGAAAATAAACCCCAAGAAACCTCAACTCTCCCTCAAACCAACAAACCTAGGCTCAAGAGTTCCCTAGAGATCGCTCAAATTTCCCCACTAACCAACTCTGAATTCATCCATCAGTAAACCCCACCCCTAAATCACCCTATATAATAGCATCTATCTCCTCTAACTAACTACTATGAACTCCTTTGCATTGCTGGACTTGGGCTCATTTGTCATAGCCCATCAATACTCCCCTTCAAAGATTCACCTTGTCCTCAAGGTGAAGGGAGATATCAGGATTTTTGCCACAAATTTCCACTAGGATCCCATTGCTTGAAAGATATTGGACCCCATTGTGTATGACATTGAAGAACTGCCATAGGGTTGCACTGTATTTAGTGCTTTACTTTTGTCTTGTGAGTTGCTCATTTCACTCTTCTGTTTCGATTTGAGATGCATGCTTGTTGGCTTAAGGTTATGGTGAATATGATCCGCTCGAAGCCTGGGTCATGCAGCAGCTTGATAGTTTAGATAACATTTTTTGATTACAGCTGGGTTGAGGGGTAGTAGATATGATATGTTAGGAATGACTTAAAAGGGAAGCGTTTTGTTTTGTTTTGTTTTTGTTTTTTGTTTTTTATTTGTGTGTTTTTAATGTTTAATTTTCCAGTTGTGAGTTTTATGGATATATTTGGTGAAGTTTATAATATTTTAAATATACTACATCTTCATATGGATTAAAATAAATTTATTTTTATTTAGAGATAGGGTAGTAATATTAGAAGACACGGTGGGGTCACAAAGAATTTCCCTATATCAATGTTAACCCAAACATTTATTTCTGAAATGTGTTCTGAGCATTAATCAGCTGCTGGATTAGAATGCGATTCCATTAAATTGATTTGCTTGCATGCTCATGCTCAGCCAATGAATCTACATATCGTTATGTCGTCATTCATCATTCAGTTATATGTTTAGAGGTACCTCTAGGCTCAACAGTTGTTAATAGTAACAATGCTGCTTGAAGTTATTTGCAATTTACAGTATATGATTCATGTCTTATTAATACACACGTGCTTTTACTATGCACATAATGAAACTAAAATGTAAAACTTATTTCTCAGGAAGTTTATTCTGAACTTTAAAATCAATAATGCCCAGATGCAAACTGAGGTAATGTTTCTACCTGCCAGAAGATAGTTCTGGTGAAAATTGTATGATTCTACATGTGATTGCAATTTTAATGTCTTCTGTGAGTTATCATTATTATTCAGACATCAAATTCTTTCATTTTTATTGTGCTTTCTAATTTTTAAAATTTATTTATCATCCTACTATCCTCTTATGTCTGGATCAATGACTGTCGGAGAAGTTCTCAATATGCTAAGTTATTTTTTCTATTCCCATTTTTGTTTTAATTCACAGTGCATAAAGCATACTATCCCTTGATTATTCAATACAAATGGCTGAACCCAGTACACCTGAGTCGGAAACCACAACGAAACCTCAACTCATATACCGGTGTAAGAAATGCAGAAGAATTGTTGCTTCAGAGGATAATATAGTTTCCCATGAGCGTGGAAAAGGGGAATCAAGCTTCAAGTGGAAAAAGAGAAGCAGCGAACCCTGGGAAATGGAAAAGCAACCAGCTGACTGCACCTCAATATTTGTTGAACCCATGAAGTGGATGCAAGCAGGTACTCTTAAATTCCCCTCATATATCTTATGGTTGCCGTAAGATCACTTTTCATACTTCATACTAACATTATGGATATGGATTGACTTGGAAGTACAAGAAGGTCATGTGGAGGAGAAACTTCTCTGTATGAGCTGTAATGCTCGTTTGGGTAACTTCAATTGGGCTGGTATGCAGTGCAGCTGTGGAGCCTGGGTTAACCCTGCCTTTCAGATGCATAAAAGCAGATTAGATGAGTGCTACATGTAAAACAAGCACCTTGTAGCTTTCCCAAAAAACCAGAGCTTGAATCTTTTGAAGAACAAAACATATGGCTGCTTAGCTTTGAAGATTGTCTTGTACCGGTTTTACTTCAAACTAGGTTTATTTATTAGATACTAGTTACTGAATGAAACATATTGTAAATGGTTCTTCTCATACTGATATGTATAAGTTCTTTTTTCTTTTTTTCTTCCTTTTTCTTTCACCATTAAAATTTTCGTTTTCCTTTCCTATGCTGCATTTTGTGTTCTGGTGGACTGACAGACATGCCACAATTGAAAACACGATATATGTGATCTGTGTCATAATAGAGGTATGAATTTTTACAATGGAACTATTTGGATTGTATCACCAACTTCTAGCATGACCATAATTTTCTTGGTTTCTCGGCAATAGAAATTTGTGATTTGTGTATTCCTTCCCTGAACTCAAATGCATCTTTAGTCTATCTTTGAAGTAGTTCATATATTAGCTTTGGATGGAAGATTGGTGACCTGTTTTGTCATTTGCTGCTCAAACTCTGGACATTTAAGAAAACATAAATAGTAATGCTATAACAAATAAAACTTTATTCTAGATGTACTTTTTGTGTAATATAACATAAAAAAAATATCTTATGAATCCTATCGAAGCTAATCCTTCTTAAATTTCACATGGCTATTATTTTTTTGGGCTTTATTAATCTCATGTGACATAAGAGAAGTTCTCTTATGTCATAGAGATAGTTATGAGTAGGACTCACTCACTTAAAGAAAAAAAAAAGTAACACAGAAATCGATGTATGTGTAGAAGAGAAAAATACTTTCCTACAATATAAGATAATATTTTCCCTATTTTTTTATACCAGCTCCACCACATTATCGAGATCCATCATGAAAAATCTTCTATGGCCCACAGCAGTGAATGATCCCATCGAGAAGCTCAAGATTTTTTTTATTATATCTTTTGAGAAATATAGAACAGGAGCTTTATACTACCATGTCCTTGGTGGAACAGAAAAAATAACAGTCAAAGTGATATAGTGGAGGTGCAGATTATGATCATACAGGTCATTGACGTGAGCCATTGAACTCATGCAAATTACTAGGTTGATAGAGATTTGTAGTGAAGGGGACCAATTTGAATCGTCTCTCACGCAAGGGACTAAATCGCTCAACTAAAACAAAAAATAAAACGGGATTTTTTTTTCAATTCAATTAAAAGTAAAGAAAGACGTAAAAATTGAATTAAAAACAACCAACCCATAATTCGGATTCCTAGGACATTCATCATTGGACAAATAATTACTAAATTCGTGGTTAACCCTAAACGAATCAGAATCCTTGCATTCGTTTAGAAACCTTCTCTAGACGATCGCCTAGCGTTTAATCAAAAATAGCGCGTCTACTCGTGCAATCGCAGAGTATCAACCTATTCGACTTGAGGTCATTGGATTAATCAATCTAAACGTTAAATATAACATTTAATCCCTTCCATAGAGTGCAATAGCAGATTTCAGATTAAACATACAATTGTGTGATGCTCAATCCGAATAGGGGAAAACAAACGAATTCAGTTAGAGGGGCGTAGGTTCTCTGGATTAATCCATGGAATCTTCAACCCTTGGGTTAATTAAAGAATGCTTAGCCTAGCATAGCTATTAGAAAACAAAACAAAAAAGTAAAAGAGAATAGAGAAGAACATGAAGAATAGTAGAGAAAATGAAAAACTCAATTGAATCCTAAAATTGTAAAACGTGAAAACTGAAACAAAACGGTAATGTTTCCTAACATATAGCCTTTTAACCCCTATTCAAACCGGGTTAAGGCTTCACAAATCCGACCCAAAAAAAAAAACGGAAATAATGGCTTTGGACCTCATAGATATTGAGTTCCCAATTACAAAAGCAAGCACAATTAATTAACTAAAACTCCAGAATCTTGTCTTTGACTTTGGCTCCAATTTTGACCATCTTCTTGTTCGAATTTGGCTTTCATGTCTTCATAACATTTGTAGCTCTCTGAATCATCTCCAAAACGAGAAAAGAATGAGGTTAATGGGATACTTATAACAAAAGTTAGGCTCAAAATATTGGAATAACGTAAATCTAGATTTTAGTATAAAAACGAATTAAATCTAATTAAAAGCCCAACATTCAATTCAGCCCAAAAGACTAGTACTTACACATTGAACAATCCTAAAATTATTAATCAAAAATAACAAATAAGGACAATAAAATTCAATTATCAATCATTCTACCTTGTGGTGACTGATTAGATAATCACTTTTGCTTGAACTTTGTTTAAGTATATTTTTAGCTATTGTTTTATTTATATTGAATTGTACTCGAACGAGTATGAAATTTATTACATATATTAGGAGTTACTAATTTATTTATATTTTAACGTAGCCTAATTTATATTTTACTTTGGATATCTCACAACAAGGCAAAAAAATTAAAATAATGCATTTAAATTAAATAATTACGCATTTAATGCTGTTTTGTAAAAAATTACACATCTACTGCACAATGTGACGCCACTTTTGAGCGTTACATGTGACGCCCCAATGGGGCGTCTCTCCCCTGGAGATTCTTTCCTTATTTGCTGCAGATATGATTGAGGGACAGAGCATGATGCTTCTGCATATCTTCTCCAAATATACTTAAGATTTGATTTGGATTTGTAGACTCTGATTTGTTGAAGATTTGAGTAGGATTTCTTGAAGATCTATGAATGATTCAAATTATCTGTTTGCGCGCTCAGAAGCTTCCCTCCATTAAGTTAGGATTGGGTCCATAGCTTGCTGGTGATGATGTCAACCAAACACGCTGCTGACCTCATCTTCAATGCTACAACACTGTTTTCCGATGCTACAGCACTGACCTGCAATAAAATAGCAAATGCAATAAATGGTTCTAACACTCAAATTATCTTCAAATATCCACAATTAACATATTTCTCATTCAAATCATGAAAATATAGAATTCATGCATTAATCATATAAAACCAAGAGAATTATGTATATTATTGCACCAAAACATCACAAATAAGCCTAAAAATAACTCTTCACCATAGAGTTATCACCTGCAAGCTGGCTAGCTTTACTTAGGGAGAAGACCGAAGAACAAAAATAGCAAGGGAGAAGAGTTGAGAGTTGGAAGCAAGCAATAGCCAGAAGAAGAAAATGGAGAAGACTATTGTTCAGCCCGTCTTGCAATGCATCGAAGGAATTTTCGCAAAGAGACATTGTGCAGAAGAGGACTCTGCGTAAAAAGACGTTGCATCCCATATCATATATAGATGGGAATGGATTCTCAAATGTGATAAAGTGGTCATGTGGTCAGATTATATTGAAATTATAAGGATTTAAACATAGGAGAAGAAAAGAAAATATCAAAGAGAGTACGAATAAAAAGAAAGAAAAGAAAAGCTCACCTGCTTGCATCATGATTCGTAGAGTCCATTTACCTCACTTTTCCTATAGCTAGCTGTGTTATCACGAAAGAAGAAAGCTCTCTGCACAAGAAAAAGGTTTTTGGCCTGCACACGGCACCACCTGCAAGCTGGGTAACTTTGCTTAGGGAGAAGACCAAAGAACAAATACAACAATGGAGCAGAGTTGAGAGGTTGAAGCAAGCAATAGCCAGGAGAAAAAAATGGAGAAGACTATTGTTCAGCCCCGGGAGATTTTAGGGTATAAAATGGGTGAGTGACAAATGGGGCTAAAACCCACTCATTTAAGGGTTTCTGGCCAATATATACTCGAGTATCTGGGGAGGATACTCGAGTACTCAGGTAAATATTTCAATACACGATGAACACCTTCAACCAGGACAATATACTCGAGTATATTGTCATATACTCGAGTATAGTTTTTTATCAACAGTTAAATAATGACAAATTGATATTATGCTTAAGGAAAATGTCAAATATTTTAAATAGTTTATAAATAAGGGGGAAGTAATAATTTTTAATTAATTAAAAGACATATAAGTCAAATAGCCAGGCTTTTTGACCCTTTTGTCCCTCATTAAATAATTAATAACCAATTTGCCCCTCCCCCAGAACTATCCACCATCCTTCCCCCATTTAGTCGATTAAGTTGCACTTTTAATCGACTAAATGGGCAAAACTCAGAAATCATGAAACGCGAAATTTAGTCGACTAAATACTCACCTTAATCGACTACATTTGTTGCACTTTTAGTCGACTAAGGCCATTATTTAGTCGACTAAATGTCGCAGAAAACCCTATATCCAGACCTCTCTCGGTCTCATTTTCATTATATTCGAAATCAAAACTCCTCTTTCTCTTGTTTGTCAGTTGTGATCCTTCCAATCACCCTTCCATTTCATCCCACCACCTCTAAGGCATAGTAATTGTGAAATCATTGTCATTTCCCTTTATTTCTCAATTGTTTCCCCTAAATCCGAACCCAAAACCCTAAAATCCGATTCCTACCCCCAAAATTCTTGTGAAAGATGAGCTCAAGTCCAAACATGTATGTTACCATGATTTACTATGATGGAAAGCATTATGAAGGCCCCAACGGTGTTCAATTTGAAGGAAACATTATGAAAGCATTATGCTTGCCGGCGACATTATGAGGGTTGACTTGCTAAATCGTAAATGTCAATGTGGACGGTTCACAGCTAGACGATTTCCTTGCAGTCATGTGCTAGCAGTGTGCAAGGTTGAAAAATTGAACCACTATGACTATGTCGATCCTGTGTTCTCAATTACACAAATTGAGAAGGTCTATGCTGCACATTGGTTTCCAATGGGTAATGAGTTGTTGATCCCAGAAATAGATGGTCCAACTATTATCCCAAATGCATCTTTGGTTCGTGCACAAGGGAGACCGAAGTCTTCAAGGATACATAATGAAATGGATTGGGTTGAGTCCCAACCCACAAGCAGTAAAACTAGATGTAGCACCTGCAAGCAAATTGGTCACAATAAACGTACATATCCTATGAGGATTAGACAAAGCTGAACCAATGTTGTGCATGTATTTAAGGTCTTTTGTAAGAGTTCATGTAATTCTGTTATGAATTTTTATGTTACTTTGTGTTACTGTATAACTCATTATGTTATTTGACTTTTCATTTCTAAGTCCATTATCTAACATTGGTCCATATTGATAGATTGAAACTCATAACTAATACTAATATTACCCCTAAATGAATTCACCAAGTTTCGGGGAGCGTAAACAAACAGTTTCAAGCAATACGTACCCAATTGCATACGAATCCTGTACAATACAATTTTGTACCTGAAAGTGTGTTCCCCAAGTCATTATATGCGTGTACATTAGTATTCGATCGGTTCTGTGCCAAAAAAATGCG